CCGGGATAATGAATAAACATGACGATGATCTGCATATGCATCTAATTCTCCGAATTTTGGGTTGGTAAAATTAGTCCTCTATTTGATCCTAATAACTCTGACCAAGTCTCTACATGCCTCTTTCTGCCTTCCACCATTAGGGTTCGATAGAGTTTGGTGGTTTAGTGTGTTGATTTGGATTAGTTTAGCCTTAGTTGATATCCATATCGCCGATTTTCCCGATTTGGATCAAGATTACTCTTTCACACCGTCAAGTAATTCTTTGAACTTCACGCGGCAGTTTTGATATCCAACGTTCCAAATCGGGAAACGTTCACAGGCAACTAAAATAGAAATAGTGTAGATCTAACAATCACCCCTAAAAGATTTTCCCCGTCACACCTAAATCCCAAATAAATCGGTCTAACAATGCCAGGGAAGACTTACTGTAGTTAAATATGGAATAATATACCATGGAACACTTTGTTCTACGACAGATTTTTGATAATTAATAAAGGTCTTAGGATACAAGACATAAATACAGATAACAATAAAGAATAGTATAGTAATGATAAACATAAAAATTAAATAAGATAAAAGAAAAAGTAGTACAATCGCCTAAACAAGTCTAATCAATTAAAGAAAGGTCGGAAAGACGTCGGAAAATTAAATCGAAAAACTTTTAGTAACACCATGACCTCATAACCTCGTGACGTCGGTTGAATTGATACTACCGATCTCCACAGCTAGCGTGATTGCGCCACACGTGATCCAAATAAGCAGTATACTCGAAATAGCAGAAGTGAAAGCATTAGTTTCCGCTAGTTGTATTATAACTGAAACAAACTATAAGCCCAATAAAGGAAGAAGACTTCACTAAACTTCGGAACTATCTACAAGGCCTTAGTTCCGAAAAACTCGGACCAAATCTCACCACGCCTCAATCGAAGCCTACCAACTTTGGAGCTACGATCTTGCTTTTCTTTCTAGTTTAGTTAGTTTAGAGTATTGTTTATATTAGTTTTATAGTGTTTATTGGGTTCAGAGTAGTTTATTTGGTTATATTCATATTAGTTACCCGCTCACAACGTACAGTACTGTACGTATAGTACTGAACGCGGCACATCACTAATTAATACCATCACAAAAATTTGTAATAAATAATATAAAAAAGGCTTTTTTTTTTTTATACAATTACAGCTTTGAATTTTTGGTTATTAAGGCCAATTCATAACGTACACCATCTTCTAACTAAAGTATATAAAAAGAGAAGATTCCTGCTAATATAATAATTAATAATGGTTTATTAATAAAAAATTTAAAAAGTACCATCTTTTAGCTACTCTAAGATAATTGTTCATTACAAAGATTGTCAGAAAAAAAATTGGTAGTATGTCCGTTGAATCAATTTTTTGAACGCTTTTTTTGATAGTAATTTACTACCGATCAATTTTATGCATAAAATCGAATAGTCATTATTACTGCACCTTACATAATTTTTGCTAAAATATCTCACCGTCCGGTGTATTAAAATTTACCATATATGATAGGAATAAATTAATCACGTATTACGAAATCTTTTCTATAATATTAATGCCTTTTTCAAAGTTCTCAGCATTTTTCGACCTCTTTTATGTGCCTTAAAACTTCTCTTTACGCGATTTTGTAGCCCAAACTGTCTTAGCATGACAAAATTCCATTGGACCATAAACAATGACGTGTGATAAGCAAGATCTTCGTAATATTCAACTGCGATTTCATGAAGTTCAGGTAGCCTTGTCCACGGTATCTAAAATATAAATTAGGAAACTCATTAATAAAACATAATAATGATTAATATAAATTTTAAAAATTTGAACCTACATTTGTAAAATCATGATGTTCATTATGATAACCAATATTCATAAATATTTTATTAAAACTTCCATAATAAGAATAAGTTTCTTGACCATCATCAAATGTGTAATGCTCCTGGATAGAACGTGCTGCTACTGGATGAACGCTAAAGCCAAACCATAATGACATAAATAAATATAATAACCCTCTATAACTACAATAATAGTATATTATAATGTTTGTCAAAATGGTAAAAATAAAATTTACATATTCCCATAGCTGTAAATTTTTAAACATGGAAATATTACGTAGGGGGTATATTATAGGATTAAAGAAGAGCCATAATGATTTAAATAAAGTGCTGCAACCAAATTTTTTCTCCAACTCTGAAGGTAGATCTGGGTCTAATTCTTCTACGCCTTGAAAAGCGTGATGTTTTAAATGATGTCGACGAAAAGACATGGCTATAGGTACTGGTAATGGTATATTTGCGACAAGACCCACGATACGATTCTGGAATTCTGTTTTTGCTGTGAGACTATGTGCAGCTTCATGAATTATTACACTGTAAATCTGTGTCATAGTTCCCCCAATGATAAATGAAACAGTGAGCATAGTCAAATTCCAATTAACTAGCCAGCGACCAAATAAATATGCCGCTGTAAGCTGGATTATTACTCCGATAATTGCAATATATACAGTAATAATATCATATCCAAATAGACTTTTAATTTCTGAATATTGACTTAAAATAGTAATTCTCCTCTTCATATGAGGTTCGTCTAAATTGTCATTGATAAAGTCTTCGTCAATGTAAGCGATATTCCTTCGCCAGTTACCGATATAAAGGGGATGTCTATAATCATAAATGTTACTATATTCGTGATTTGCAGAAGGCATTGTGTCTCTTAATTTATAATATCTAAATTTTATTTCAAGTTTGCATTAGACGAAAGTATAAAACGTGTGAAAAAAAACTTCAACGAAAAGTACAAGGAAAATTTTACAATTAAGTAAGCAAAATCAACTATAGCTCTATTATTAGTATTTTTTTTCTAGTTCGCGATTATTCCTCACGTGATCATATAGCAAATAATCATCCCACATTTTTTCTCAAATAAAATTACGCCATGGAAATTTGTAGGATCGTATGATTATTGTTAATCTTTTTTTCTTTATTGTATAGGGGCAAATTTGATAAGTCACACAATGTTACAGCTATTATCATAATTCCTGAAACACCTGATGAAAATTAGCCGAATGATTTTTCGGCCGATTCGGTTAAGTTATAGATTTCGGGAATAATAAGAT